CATTGGAAATGTGCTACAGTGGGAAAATTGAGAATGTCATTGCCCACGTTTGTCATATTAGACCTTTGGAACAACGCGATCGGCCGGGAAACTAGCTGAAACAGTGAAACTGCAGGTTGAACTTCGCAATTTTTACAAATTGTGAATAGATATACTGTATGAAATGGTATTGTGGGGAAGTTTGTGTTTTCAACTTTGGCGAATGGAAACTTTATGTAAATGGTGGAATTCAGCGTTGATTTGTTTTTAAATCGCTGATGTGCCGTTTTATTTCTGGTCGGCACCACACATAATGAAAATAGATCTTCGAAAATGAAATTATGATGCCATATGTGAACTAAATAAAAAAATTGGTATACTCCTAGTCTAAGTCCCGGGTCCCTGTGAAGCTCGGTGGATTTTGTGTGTACTGCGACCTGTGAATGGGCATATACATATTCACGCAATCCTGTTGTTACATTGTATCATGGAGGTACTAGGAATATGATGTAACCTTGCCGATTTTTTTGATTTTTTAACGTGACCATATTATATATGTCTAGACACTTTCTCTGTAATAATATTTGTTAGGAGTCCTTAGGATTTTTTGTTGTAGACTCTCAAAATCTTGTTCTTGTTACAGTTGTTAATAATTAAAACATGTGAAGTAACAAGTTCGTCTGTTGAATTTCCGGTTGTGAAACCCTCCACAGCTAAACAAACCCAGCGTATGGTCGCGTTAAAAAAAAAATGGGACCAAGAAATCTTCCGGGGCGATTTTTCGGCAGTTTTTAAATTTATTTTTTAAAATATTTTGTCGTAATTTATCGAACATTTCAATCATTCCTGACGTCTATATCAGTCTATTTAAGTTTTTATTCAAGAGCGTGTTTAATTGTGACTAGCGTAAGCTCCGTTTTCTATTGTCTTTGGTTTGGACAAAGAGCTGTTATCACTGTAAACAATGTTAAATTATTCTTCTTATGCTAAGTTCATCTTTGAAAACAACTATTTTTTATTTTAAAAAAATCATGCCATTTTCCCATCAACATCCAAGCCAAAAGAGCGTACTACAACATCGACAAATCTTTTCCGATTTGTGATTTGAACGCGTTGGCATCATCCAGCATTTTGATTGGTGATTTGACCTATTAGCTCAATTCATGCAAGAGAAACATGGCGGATACACTACTGCACCAAGCATTTATATGCGATCGGAATCATTTGCTTACAATGAAACTAAGTTGAATTTTATTTGAATTTCATAACAATCAACGTTTTTGAAACGTAGCATGTCCGGATGGAGCATCTGTGATCGCTTGCTGCTACGCAATGCAGTTGTGTTCGTTTTTATTAGAAACGTCGTTTAAAATATACTTTTGTTACCAATAAAATAAAGACAAATGTAAATTTGAAAAATGACACTGGGCGACACTTTAATGACATTTCAGGTGGTCTACTTTTTAATTCAGCAAGAATTATTAATTATTGTTAATTCTGCAATAGTTTCTTTCGTCTTGGGTGGCCCAACTGACGGCGTAGAAAGTCTGTGTAGTTGGATACAATGAAAATGTCCCCCCAAAATATTTGATAATTATTTTTTGAAATTTTGAACCCCAAATAAGCGCCCACCAGCCGTGATATCCCCAGGGCGATTTTTCGGGATGGGCGAATTTACGGCAGAATCCGGTATTATATAAAGAAAGTATTATTATGAACATCTCGCGGATATTGCCATGGTTTTATACTGTTTGTAGTTTGCATATGAAATGGATGCCCCTCCTATT